AGGAGAGAGGCCCTTTGGGTTGAGAGATCCAGGCAGCCAGGACAACCCTTGCAAAGGTCCTAGGGCAGAGGCAGGTCTGTGGTGCAGCAGTGGAGGTCGTGGGGGGGGGGGGGCTAAGGGAGGTCTCCACCCCAGATGGGAACGTGTTAGAGGGTGAGCTCAGAGCTGGAGGTTGCCTGGGGCTCAGGGGCGCCCTCTGGTGGTGGCTCTGTGATGCTGGGAATCGAACCCGGGTCGGCCAGCACTCACAGAGCTGGCTTAGCACGCACGGCTGGGATGCGAAGGAGGAGGCGGAGGAGGGGAAATTTGGGGGAGGGGTGGGGAAGGAAGGAGGGGCGGCCCGGGCTTGCAGCCAGTAAAGTCTGCCTCGAAAGGTACAATATTTGGTACCAAAGCAATAGGAAGGACAACAGGAGGGGCACTTGCCTTGCACACAGTGACCCAAGGTTCAATCCCAGGTTCGATCCTCAGCATGCTGTAGGGTCCCCAGGGCATAGCCAGGAGTGATTCCTGAGCATCGCTGGGTGTGGCCCCCCCATAAAATAAAAAAAAGTTTCAGTACCATCCTGATTTATTTATTTATTTGGGGGGGATGGGCGTGACACCCAGCCATGCACAGGGGTTACTCCTGGCTCATGCACTTAGAAATTCCTCCTGGCGACAGTACCACCAACCTGATTTATTTAATTTAATTTATTTATTTTGCATTTTGGGTCACACCTGGCGATGCACAGGGGTTACTCCTGGCTCTGCACTCAGGAATGGCTCCTGGCGGTGCTCAGGGGACCATATGGGATGCTGGGAACCAAACCCGGGTTGACCGCATGCAAGGCAAACACCCTACCTGCTGTGCTGTTGCTCCAGCCCCTACCACCCTGATTTAGAAGGATTTTCCTAACACAGAACAAAGGTGAGCTGCTGGGAAGTTCTGTTGATGTCACCAGCTGGGAGAGAGGACAGAGGGAAGAAGGAAGACAGGGAGGAGGGAGGAAGGGAGGAGGGAGGGAGGGAGGAGGGAGGGAGGGAGGGAGGAGGGAAGGAGGAGGACTCTAGCACTGTACGATCTCTCTGTCCCCCCATTTCCAGGTCTAAGCCCAGACAACGGGGCTGGAGCGAGAACTCAGCTGTGTCCCTTGAACTCAGCTGACCCAGGTTCGATCCCAAGCACCCCACAGAGTTCCCCGAGCACTGCCAGGAGTGATCCCTGAGCACAGAGGCAGGAGTCAGCCCTGAGTACTGCCAGATGTGGTCCAAACACAAACAAACAGGCAAAAAACACTCCCTAGGGGACTGGAGAGATAGCACAGTGGGTAGGGCTTTTGCCTTGCACGCAGCCGACCCGGGTTCGATTCCCAGCATCCCATATGGTCCCCTGAGCACCGTCAGGAGTAATTCCTGAGTGCAGAGCCAGGAGTAACCCCTGAACATCGCCAGGTGTGACCCCCCCAAAAAGCAAAGAAAAACCCCCAAACACTCCCTAGGTCAGTGGACGGGGTCTTCTGCATCCCTCCTTGCTGGCCCACCAGCCCAGGGGCAAGTGGTGGGCTGGGGCGGCAGAACTGGGTCCTAGGGCCTCTGCAGGCTGCAGGGAGAAAATTCTGCAGGTGGGGGTCGGCGGAGGGGACGGCACCCCCTTGCATTGTTGGTGCTTTGTCGCCCTCTGGTGGCCGTGCGCAGTTGCTCCCTACGTGCTCAACCAGGAAGTGACCCCCAAGTCTGGCCATGGGGGAGGGAGGGCGGGGTTCCTGCCTTGGCTCAGCCTTTTGTCCCAGGACCCAACACTGTGTGTGTGTGTGTGTGTATGTGTGTGTGTGTGAGACAAGTGCCCAGCAACCCCTCCTAAAGCTGCCACTAGCTCCCCCAGTCCCAAGCTGTTCCCCCATTCCTAAAAGACATGCTTTCTTTTCTTTCTTTTTTTTTGTTTTGGGTCACACCCAGCCGATGCTCAGGGGTTACTCCTGGCTCTGCACTCAGGAATTACCTCCTGGCGGTGCTTGGGGGACCATATGGGATGCTGGGAACCGAACCCGGGTTGACCGCATGCAAGGCAAACGCCCTACCTGTTTTGCTATTGCTCCAGCCCCTATAAGGGGTGCTTTCAGATAAGGACATGGAGCCAGCAGCCGTAGGCACAGGCTGGGAGAGACCCCGGGACTCAGTGGAGCAGGATGCCAGCCTGGGGCGCTCAGCAGTGACAGGGACCCTATTTGAAGGCTGGAACCAGCCACGCCTGAAGCTGAATTGACTTCAAACTCTTCAGTTGGGTAAACCCTGGTCTCGGGGTTTGGCCAAAGCCAATTTGGTTTTTGGTTTGTTTGATTTTCTTTGGGGGCTAGCGGTGCTCAAGTGTTACTCCTGGCTCTGCATTCAGGAGTCACTTCCTGGTGGGGCTTGGGGGACCCTGTGGGATGCTGGGGATCGAACCTGGGTCGGCCACGTGCAAGGCAAATGTCTTACCCACTGTACTGTCATTCCTAATCCTCTTTGTTTTTTGGTTTATTTTAATAAACAAACGGCTCAGGACTGACTCCTGACTCCTGACTCCTGGCTCTGCATTCAGGGATCACTCCTGGTGGGGCTTGGGGGACCCAATGTGACCGGGGCTGTCTGAAAAAGGCGACCAGCTGGGCATGGGCAATGTGGAGAGCCAGTCCTGAACCCGGTGCTACTGTACCCACAGCAGAGGTCACAAGGGGCTGGAGCGATAGCACAGCAGGTGCCTTGCACACGACTGACCCGGGTTCCATTCCCAGCATCCCATATGGTCCCCCGAGTACCGCCAGGAGTAATTCCTGAGTGCATGAGCCAGGAGTTACCCCTGTGCATTGTCGGGTGTGATTTCCCCTCTCCCCCGAAAAAAAAGACCGAAAAAGATTCTCAGCAAAGGGCTGGAGCAATAGCACAGCGGGTAGGGCGATTGCCTTGCACGCGGCCGACCCGGGTTCGATTCCCAGCATCCCATATGGTCCCCTGAGCACCGCCAGGAATAATTTCTGAGTGCAGAGCCAGGAGTAACCCCTGTGCATCACCAGGCAAAAAGCAAAAAAGAAGATTCTCAGCAGAGGTCATGGGTACCACTGATGAGCTAGAACATTGATGCCCCCCAAGGCCCCCATCAGGGCCCTTTCCTGGACAGCTGGAGCTGCAGACTGGAGGGCCAGGGGTCTACCGAGGAGGTGGTACCTCCAGGAGCTGGAGAAGGTCCCCGAGGACCCCCATCCTGGTGGCCCTGAGCTGCTGTGACACTCTGCAGGCCATTACGTGTGGAGCAATGTTCCCAAGCTATAAAGGGGGAGTAAGAGCCCAAGGCCCCGAAACTGCCTCTCTGAGATGAGGGACCCCCATATGCTTCCAGGGACTGAGTCTCAATGACCACTGCAAAGAGATCAGGCTAGACCCTGGCCTGTGCCCTACTGTCCCTCTCCCCCACACCCCCACCCCCCGCCGCCTCCTCCCTCAGTCTGTCTCTTCAGGCTCCACCCTCAACCCCCAGCCATGCCACAGCTATTTCCGGCCACCGCTTCCCGGGCCTGGCTTGACCCTTTTTCCAGAAAGTTCTGAAAATAGCTCCTGTGGTCTCCCCTGCCCCGGACAGCTCTGGGGACAACGCCCAGCCATCGTGTGAGGGGTGTGGTTGCCACCAGCTGTGCTGGGGGGTGGGGGGGCGGCCAGGGGACGCAGCTGGGCCCTGAGACCGGCATGGAGGGGCTGCCACAGTGACTTCGCCTGCACAGCAGCCCTGGAGATTTGCCCCCCACCCCTCCAGACCAGCAGACCCCTAAGCTGTAGATTCAGGGTACAACCCCCCAATGCCCTGACACAAGACAGCCAGGTACACAGCAGGCGTTTAATAAGTGCAGCTGGGATGGTGGAGGTGCTTGGCGGGGGGCTGGGGTGGGGTCCACGGGCCTGGGGGTCCTGGGGGTCCTGGGGGACGGGGTCAGCATCCTGGAGCAGTGGGTGCCTCCCACAAAGTGCCAGCCAGATGTGGGAGGCTCAGGCCCAGCATGGAGTGAAGCGGCAGAACTAGGGCCCGTCCCCCCAGTCCCACACCAAGTCCTCGGGTCCCAGAAGGCCAAAGCTTGCAGGGAGCATCATGGAGACGTTGAGAAACCCCAGGTTGGTTGGTAGGGAGTTAGGGGGCAGGGGGCATCCCATATAGATTGGGGGTACTTAGGGGGCGTCACAGCCGGCGATGCTCGGGGCTGACCCCTGGCTCTACGCTCAGGGCTCACTCCCGGTGATGTTTGGGGGACCCTATGGGATGCCAGAGATCGAATCTGAGTCAGCCGCGTGCAAGGCAGACACCCTCCCCGCTGCGCTGTCGCTCCGGGCCCCGGACTGAAGCAGTTTACAGACCCAAATGGGTCCCCCAACAGACCTGCTGTACCCTGGCACCCGCAACTTTCAGAGAAACCCTCTGGCAGCTGGGATGTGGAATGCGGGTGGGCAGTGATGGGGTGAGAGGAGGCTGGTTCCTTTCCTTCCTGGGCCCGGGTTTCATTTGGCAGTCTCAGAGACAGAAAAAAATGTCCAGCAGATTCTGCTTCGAAGGCAACAAGAGCGTGGACCCAGAAAGCGAATAATTTCTTGCCAGGAAAAGCCAAGAACAAAAATCACTGGGGCGTGGCTATAGGGCGTGGTCAAAGGGGGCGGGGTCAGGTGATTACGGGGTTAGGATTGGAGCATGATCACGGGGGCGGGGCCAGGGTGGACAGGGGCGTGGTCGTGAAGGGCGGTGCCAAGATGTGTGGGCGGGGCTAGGTTGGAAAGGGGGCGTGGCCGTGAAGGGGATGCCAAGACAGGCCAGGCTAGGTGGGCGGGGCTAGGGTGGGCGGGGGCGTGGTCTTGAAGGGCGTTGCTAAGGCGGGGCCAGGTTGGGTGGGCGGGGCCAGATAACGGCGGGGGCGTGGTCAGGTGGGGGCGAGGCGTGGGCTGTGTCTGGTTCCATGGCTCTGCTTTTTGGTTGGCCGCAGAGCTCACATGGGGGGCGCATTTGCTGGCAGTCGGTCCTTGGCAGTTCCCACAGGGCCCGGCAGCCTCAGTTCTCATCCTCACTAAAGTAGATGCCGGATTCCCATCGCTGGGCCATCATGCTCTTGTGGTGGGGGACCCGCGTGGATTCCAGAATCTGCAGGAGAGGAGCAACGGAGTCCCCATCAACATCCTGGAACTCTCCTCCCAGCACAGAGGACTCAGAGCAGAGGGCGTCTGCAGTGGGGATGGAGGCCAGGCAGAAACATCCCCTCCTCTGTACTGTGCTCCTGTCTGGCCTTTGGGATCCAGGTCCAGGAGGATCCCAGCTAAGCTCCTCAAATCAAATTCACAGAGGTCCCACATGCTCCTAGTCAAACCCAGAGGCCTTGGTTGGGGGCACCGTCTGCTTCATGCCCCGGTGGCACACCATTGCCCGACTACCGGTTTCTGAAGCCTCCCCCAGTCACAGGGCAAGGGGTACAGGCTCAGTCCCCCAACCCTGCCTCGCACACTCACCTCCGAGTTAACGTAGTCCGAGGGATTGAGGCCTGCATACTGTGGGAACAAAACACAAATCAAGAATGGGGTCCAGTCGCGGACCCCCAGCCCTCCATGGGCTCACTGCGAGGCATACTCAGTCACCCTTGGGGCGCAAAGACAACCCCATTTTTTTCTTTTTGGGTCACACCCTGCAATGCACAAGGGTTACTCCTGGCTCATGCACTCAGGAATTACTCCTGGCAGTGCTCAGGGGGACCACTTGGGATGCTGGGAATTGAACCCGGGTCAGCCGCGTGCAAGGCAAATGCCCCACCCGCTGTACTACCGCTCTGGCCCCCAATCTCTATTTTATAATCCCTGATCCCGTCCTCCTAGCAGAATGCATCCTTGGGGAGAGATGACCTCACCATGGGGAGCCTGCTGACCGGACTCCGAGCTCTGCCACCATCTCCCCGAGGGGAAACTGAGGCACCGTGACTCACAGTAGTGAACCATACCCACCACTGGTCGCCCAGGTCAAGCCTGGTCTGTATCTCTGCAGGGGTCCCTGAGGGGCTGCCGGACTCCCCCGGGGAGCGCTAGTGGGGCTGTGGACTCACCCAGCGATCCTTGCTCCTCTGCTCTGAGGCCTCAGCTGGCTCCTCGGCTGTCCACACCAGGCCCGAGTGGAGGCGGATGGGGGAGGTCAGAGACTCCGAGACAGAGTAACTGCCCGTGATCCCTGCGTGAGTTGGGGAGAAGGAATGTCAGAAGGATCACTGGGGACTTTTTTTTAATTTAATTTTTGTTTGTTTTGTTGGTTTATTTTTTGTTTTTGTTTTTGTTTTTTGGGTCACACCCGGCGATGGGGTTCCTTCAGGCTCTTCACTCAGGAATTACTCCTGGCGGTGCTCAGGGGACCGTATGGGATGCTGGGAATTGAACCCGGGTCGACCGCGTGCAAGGCAAACGCCCTCCCCGCTGTGCTATCGCTCCAGCCCCAGGACTTCTTTTATTTTGTGAGGGAATCATGCCTGGCGGTGCTTAGGGCTTCCTCTTGGCTCTGCACTCAGGGATCAGTCCCGGCGGGGATTGGGGAAACCTATGGGGTACCAGGGATCAAACCCAGGTCGATCGCATGCCGGGCAAGTGCCCTCCCCGCTGCCCTATCACTCTGGCCCAATATTCGGTCGTTCTGGGGACTCTTTATTTTTTCTTTGGCGGGGGTCACGCCCGGTGATGCTCAGGGGTTCCTCCTGGCTCTGCACTCAGGAATCACTCCTGGTGGTGCTCGGGGGACCCTAAGGGATGCTGAGAATCGAACCCGGGTCGGACGCGTACAAAGCAAACGCCCTCCCCGCTGTGCCATCGCTCCAGCCCCCCCAGCCCGCTTCTTACCGGACGCGCGGGAGGAGCTCCTGGAGTCGGGGTCACTGTCCCCGAAGTCGGGGGAGGGCGAGAAGACCTCGGGGTACAGGGCGCTACGCCGCTCCTCCTCCAACTCGCGTTCCCTCCGCAGTACGTTCTCCACCTCCCTCTCCAGCAGCTCGGACGACCCGGACCGTTGCAGCCTCCAAGCGGGGGCGGCGTCCCGGGGGGCCTCCTTGAGGGGGGCCTCCTTGCGGGGCGCCACAGCCGAGACCCCAAAGCGCAGGGGTCGCAGGAGGAAATACTTCTTCTTCACCACCGCCCCATCGGTGGTCCGACGGGGTCCCCGAGATCCCTGCGCGCTGCCTTCTTCCTGGGGGCCCCAGGACTTTCTAGAAGACTCCAGGACAGGCCCCCAGGAGCCGGGCGCAGGGGCCTTGGAGACCTGGGCTGGGCCAGCGCCGCCCAGGCCCGAGGAGGAGGAGAAGGAGGAGGAGGAGGAGGAGGCCGGGGGCCCCGCGACCCTGGGCGGGGAGCTGGGGCTCATGAAGGGGTGGTAGGCGTCGGGGGGGATCCGCTGCACCTTCCTCGCCCCGGCGCGGGCCTCCGCGGGGGCGCGCCCCGGGGATGCGTCCAGGAGCGAGTCTGAGCTCCAGGCTCTCCGCAGCTGCGCGGGCGAGGGGCTCCGCGGGGGCGAGTCGGGCGTCAGGGCGCGGCCCAGCTGCAGCTCGTGCCGGCGGTGCTCGGCCTCGCGTTGCGTCTCCTGCGCCAGGTCCCACTGCACGTAGAGGGACGCGCGGCGGCGCTCGGGGCGCGCGTCGGGGCGCACGTCGGGCAGCGCCAGCAGCGACGGCCGCGCGGGGATCTGCACCAGCTCCTGGTGGCTGGCGGAGCGCTGCATCCCCCTCTGCGCGCGCAGATCGGCCTCGCGCTCCAGGGCCAGCCGGATCTCCCTCTCGATGGGGGTCTCGGGGACCACTGGCTTCTCTTGGGGCGTCGGGGCCGCCTCCGGGAACCGGGGAGCCTCCGCCCTGTCGGACCAGGGCGCGCGCGCTCTGTTCTCTTCCGTGGGCGTGGACGTTCTCCTGGGCGGCTTGGCGGGGGCCACCGCCTTGACTTTGGCCTCCGGAGGCCGGTTCCAGGCCTTGGGGGTCTGGCTCACGCGCGGGGTAGCCCCCTTGGACTGGGGCGCTGGGGGGATCCCCGAGTTGGCACGTTCCAGACTGAGAAATTGTTCCCGCGCCGCCTTGAAGTTGATTTGTTCCGTGTCCACCGCGTTGTCCTCCAGAGTTGTGGGTTTGGGGTTCCTGGGCTCCCCCGGACTTGGGGTCCGGTACCCCGGGGATATGCTACTTCTCAACATCCCCTGGTCCTGGGGGTTCGCCGTCCAGTGCTCCCCGTCCAGGTGACGACGCGTCCCGCCCGTTGGGGCACCCCAGAAATGAGGCTTCACCTCTTCCTCCTCCTTGTCCTCTTCCATCCAGGGGCGCTGCGGGGTGCACTGGTCTTCGCAGGTGACCCAACGGCGGTAGGTGGTCTCCGGCCCGGCCGTGTCCAGCTCAGTCCTGGCCGCCCTGGGCCCCGCCTGCCATTGATCCCGGCCCCAGGTACCGCGGCCCTCCTGCCCGATGCCCACCATCTCGTATGTATAGCTGGTGTCGCCATCTAGGGCCAGGCCCGAGATGCGGGCAAAGTAGGGAGAGTTGAACACCGGTTTGCGGGTCACGCGATCCATCTTCTGGGGTGAAGCCACGCCGGGTTTGCTACGGGAGGAGAGAACAGGACCCGGAGTCACTGGCCAGCGTCATGGTACAGCGGGGAGGGCAGGGGAGCGGCTGGCCCTGCACACGGCCCACCCGGTTAGATCTCGGACACCCCATCGGGTCCCCTGAGCCCTGCCAGGAGTGATCCCCCAGCAGGAGTCAGTCTGCATGTGTTACATGCACACACGCACGCACACGTGTGCATGCATGTACACAGCACATATGTACACACGTGTGCACACTGGGCACCGCTGGATGAGGCCCCCAAAACAAACAAAATTGGGGCTGGTTTGGGCCAGAGTGACAGTACAGTGGAGTCGGCACTTGCTCTGCACTCTACTGGAATTTTTTTTTTCTTTTTTGGGGTCATACCCCTCTGTACTCAGGAATTACTCCTAGCGGTGCTCAGGGGACTATATGGGATGCTGGGGATTTAGAACCGGGATCAGCCTCGTGTAAGGCAAACGCCCTTGCCAGAGAGCCCGGCAAGAGACCGCGAGTATCTTGCCTGCAACCTCAGCACCCAAAAGGAGAGAGAGAACAAAAGGGAATGCCCTGCCACAGAGGCAGGGTGGGATGGGGGAGATGGGGGGTGGGAGGGATACTGGGAGCACCGGAGGTGGAGAATGGGCACTGGTGGAGGGATGGGTACTCGATCATTGTATAACTGAACCCCAAGCACAAAACTTTGTAAGTCTACAACTGTACCCCATGGTGTTTCACTAATAAAAAAAATCCCATAGGGTTCTCAGAACCCGCCAGGAGTGATACCTGAGTGCAGAGCCAGGATTAATCCCTGAGCATTGCAGGAAGTGGCTCAAAAATTAAAAAAAAAAAAGCCAAAATTGAGGGATAGTACAGCAGGGAGGGCGCTTGCCTTGCACACAGCTGACCAGGGTTCAATCCCCAGCATCCCATGGGGTCCCCTGAACTCCACCAGGAGAAATCCCTGAGTGCAGAGCCAGGAGTAACCCCTGAGCATTGCCGGGTGTGGCCTCAAAACAAAACCAACAGGAAAAGAATAGCCCTGGGGCAGTGCCCAGTTCTCTGTGGGCAAACTTCCGCCCCAGTGCCCTCTACGTGATGAACTTGGGCCCCTGCCTGACCAGTGAAATAAAATTGTGGGAGGCCCCGGGAGCTAGTTCAGGGGTTAAGGTGCTTTACCTGCAAGTGGCTGACCCAGATTCATCCCCCAGCACCCCTTCCGGTTCCCCAAATACTACCGGAAATGAACCTTGAGCAAAGAACCAGGAGTCAGCCCTGAGCATCATGGGGTATGACCCCCCACCACACACACACACACACACACACACACACACATACCAAAAAAGAAGAAAAAATTGTTAACTCATGGGACATTGCAATTCATTGGAAAACTGGGGTTTCCTTTATTCTTGCCCCAGAAGATTGGGGGTGGGTGGGTGGGATGGAGCCTGTTGGGGCCATAAATGACCCTCCCCCATGGACCCAGCTTGCTTCAGAGCAATGTTTCCCTCCCCCACCCCCATCTCATCCTGATCATGTCACCTGAGTGCCTAGATCTAGCCATTCCTGATACACACACACACACACACACACACACATACCAAAAAAGAAGAAAAAAATGTTAACTCATGGGACATTGCAATTCATTGGAAAACTGGGGTTTCCTTTATTCTTGCCCCAGCAGGTTGGGGGTGGGTGGGTGGGATGGAGCCTGTTGGGGCCATAAGTGACCCCCCTCTATGGACCCAGCTTGCTTTAGAGCAATGTCTCCTACCCCACCCCATCCCGTCCTAATCATGTCACCTGAGTGCCTAGATCTAGCCATTCCTGATACACACACACACACACACACACACACACACACACACACACACACACACACAAACAGACACACTAATTACCCAGCAATTTGCTTCAGGTGTGTCTGATATAGAAAGGGCCCTGCCCACCTCATCAAAGAGACCCCCCTCTCCTGCCCCCCACTCCACCCAGCCTGCTGTGTCCAGTACCCACGCCAGGGCCTGGAGCGATAGCACCGTTGGGGAGGGCGTTTGCCTTGTACGCGGCTGACCCGGGTTCGATTCCCAGCATCCCATAGGGTCCCCCAAGCACCGCCAGGAGTAATTCCTGAGTGCAGAGCCAGCAGTAACTCCTGCGCATCACCGGCTGTGACCCCAAAAACAAACAAATAAAACCTACCAGCTCCCACGCCAATCTCTTATGTCCACGCCACGACACACTTTCTTTGACTCTCCTGGACACAGGTGAGCGACTGTGCTTCCCTTGGGAAAAGTTCCTGGGAATTTTCCCTCCAGACTTCCCCTCCCTGAGGGAGGCCAGGGGGAGGGAACCAGGGACAAGGAGGGGCGGTGTGTTCGAACCCTGTTCCTGCCAGCTCCCATCCCTAGTGCCATAAAGCCTGGCCCCGATACTTGGAATGCCTTGACCCTTGGCCTGTGTGCTCCCTCTGCAGTGTTCAGTTTCCTGCCAAGCCAGACTCCAGCTCATTACCTGCCCCCATATCTCCGGGGCCCCTGGCATCTCCTGGACCCTGAATTCAGTCTGGCTTGGGGCACTCAAGGATGCCTCTGGCCGCTCACGGTTCACTGAGGTCCTCCCCCTCCACTGACCCTCCCTCTCCTTGCCTTGTACCAGAGACCCTCATTTCTGCATCTCCTTAAACTGCAACCCACAGGTCACCTCCTCCAGGGAGTGCCCCCAGAATGCCTCTGCCTTCTGAGGCTGGCCCCTGACCCCCAAGCCTGTTCTGAAAAAGCTCTCTTAGCACCTGTGCACTTGGGAGAAAGGTTTTGAGAAGGAGGACCAGAGAGACAGCAGCTCGGTGAGCTGGCGCCCATGCTCGGCGTGCGAGAGGCCCTGGGTTAGATCCTTGTCACAATCCCAAAGCATGGTCTGGCTCAAGCATCGAACCAACAGGACCCAGTAGGTCCCACCTCTGGGCCAAGTATTCAGAGAGACTCCTGGGCTCCTCACTCCTCCCACCCAAGCCAAAAAAAAAAAGCACGGGCCGGAGCAATAGTACAGTGGGAAGGGCGCTTGCCTAGCACGCAGCTGGGCCGGGTTCAATCCACGGCAACCCATAGGGTCCCCCTAGCACTGCCAGGAGTGATTCCCGAGTGCAGAACCACGGGTCAGTCTCGAGGGGTATGGACCCCAAACCAAAACAAAAAATTAAAACATAAAATAAATTAAAAAGAACCAAGATAGGGACCGGAGTGATAGCACAGCGGGGAGGACGTTTGCCTTGCAACCAGCCGACCCGGGTTGGTTCCCTGGCATCCCATAGGTTCCCCTGAGCACTGCCAGGAGTAATTCCTGAGTGCAGAGCCAGGAGGAACCCGTGAGTACCAATGGGTGTGGCCCAAAAAGCAGAAAGAAAGAAAAAAAGAAAGAAAGAAAGAAAGAAAGAAAGAAGAAAGAAAAGAAAGAAAGAAAGAAAAGAAGGAAGTAAAGAAAGAAAGAAAGAAAGAGAAAGAAAGGAAAGAAGGAAAGAAAGAAAGAAAGGACAGAAGGAAGGAAAGAAAGAAAGAAAGAAAGAAAGAGAAAGAAAGAAAGAAAGGAAAGAAGGAAAGAAAGAAAGAGAAAGAAAGAAGGAAAGAAAGAAAGAAAGAAAGAGAAAGAAAGAAAGGAAAGAAGGAAAGAAAGAGAAAGAAAGAAGGAAAGAAAGAAAGAAAGAAAGAAAGAGGAAAGAAAGAAAGAAAGAAAGAAAGGAAAGAAGGAAAGAAAGAGAAAGAAAGAAAGAAGGAAAGAAAGAAAGAGGAAAGAAAGAAAGAAAGAAAGAAAGGAAAGAAGGAAAGAAAGAAAGAGAAAGAAAGAAAGAAAGAGAGAGAGAAAGAAAGGAAAGAAGGAAAGAAAGAAAGAGAAAGAAAGAAAGAAAGAGAGCGAAATAAAGGAAAGAAGGAAAGAAAGAAAGAAAGAAAGGAAGGAAAGAAAGAAAGAAAGAAAGGAAAGAAGGAAAGAAAGAAAGAGAAAGAAAGAAAGAAGGAAAGAAAGAAAGAAAGAAAGAAAGGAAAGAAGGAAAGAAAGAAAGAGAAAGAAAGAAAGAAAGAGAGAGAGAAAGAAAGGAAAGAAGGAAAGAAAGAAAGAAAGAAAGAAAGGGAAGAAGGAAAGAAAGAAAGAGAAAGAAAGAGGAAAGAAAGAAAGAAAGAAAGAAAGGAAAGAAGGAAAGAAAGAAAGAGAAAGAAAGAAAGAAAGAGAGAGAGAAAGAAAGGAAAGAAGGAAAGAAAGAAAGAGAAAGAAAGAAAGAAAGAGAGCGAAATAAAGGAAAGAAGGAAAGAAAGAAAGAAAGGAAGGAAGGAAAGAAAGAAAGAAAGAAAGGAAAGAAGGAAAGAAAGAAAGAGAAAGAAAGAAAGAAGGAAAGAAAGAAAGAAAGAAAGAAAGGAAAGAAGGAAAGAAAGAAAGAGAAAGAAAGAAAGAAAGAAAGAAGGAAAGAAAGAAAGAAAGAGGAAAGAAAGAAAGAAAGAGAAAGAAAGAAAGAAAGAAAGAAGGAAAGAAAGAAAGAGAAAGAAAGAAAGAAAGAAAGAAAGAGAGAGAGAAAGAAAGAAAGAAAGAAAGAAAGAAAGAAAGAAAGGGAAGAAGGAAAGAAAGAAAGAGAAAGAAAGAAGGAAAGAAAGAAAGAAAGAAAGAGGAAAGAAAGAAAGGAAAGAAGGAAAGAAAGAAAGAGAAAGAAAGAAAGAAAGAGCGAAATAAAGGAAAGAAGGAAAGAAAGAAAGAAAGAAAGAAGGAAGGATAGAAAGAAAGAAAGAAAGAAAGAAAGAAAGAAAGAAAGAAAGAGGAAAGAAAGAAAGAAACCCCAGAGCAAAAACCAAGATGATTTGGGTGATAAATTCCGGCTATATCACCCTCCCGCTTCTTACGGGAAGGGAGACCGTCTTCATGCAGGTCAGAGGGTGCAGTGGGAGGGACCCATGTTTTTTCTCTTTCCTTCTGGGGGGATGGCGTTAGACCACCTGGCGGTGCTCAGGGC